CATGCTTGGTAACATCCTCAGTGCAGGCTCTGATGAAGCGTCGGTGTGTTTTCCCGCCTGGTTTTTAAACTCTGGGATCCGTTGAGATGGATTGCCTCACTTCCGGTTTTCCTTCGTAGTGGAATGTATATGGGGTCAAGTTCAATGTGTTTATTAATAGCATGCTTCGTGGAGTGCCATGCTTCTAGGAATTCTTGTGCCTGTCTCTGCCTAGCCTGTCCCAGGATCTTGGTGTTGTCCCAGTCGAAGTGGTGGTTCTCCTTGTCCATGTGGATTGAGATGAGTGAGTATTGGTCATGTCTTTTTGTGGCCAGTTGGTGTTCATGTACTCTTGCTGTTAGTTTCCTTCCTGTTTGTCAGATGTAGTATTTCTCGGAGTATCTGCAGGGAATCTTGTAGATGACATTGGTCCTGTCCATGGCAGGGAAGTGGGTCCTTAGTTCAGGTGAGCAGTTGTCGTAGGGTTGACATGGGCTTGTGTGCCACTCTGATGCCCAGCGGTCGTAGGAGTCTTGTGGTGAGTTCCGACGTGGTTCTGATATAGGGTAGTGTGATGAGTGTGTCGGGACGTGTAGTTTCTTTCTGATACTGTTCGTGTAGGCACCTTCTGACCCAATTCTTTGGATATCCATCATCCTTGAAAACCTGGAAGAGGTATTCTTCTTCTTCTTGGCGTAGTTCCGTGTTGCTGCAGTGTGTTGTTGCCCTTTTAAATAGTGTTTGCACACAGCTTCGTTTGTGTGTGCTGTGGTTACTGTTGAAGTTCAGTACCTGGTCCGTGTGTGTGTGGTTTTTCGGTGTACTTTCATTTGGAGTTCCCCATTTGTTGCCCTTTTCTTTGCTCACACATTGGCATGAAATTGGAAATCTAATTGGAATTGTCTGTAATGATGACTGTGTGTAAAACAAGTGCAGTGTGAGCCAGTCCCAGTGTTGCAGGAACCTAATGCCCTCCCTTTTGCATCATCTTTCCAGCCATGCATTCATCTGCCTTATTATTCGATATCTGTACTCACATGCACGTGTCACTGAGAGTAATCCAGAGACAGCCATATCTGAGGTCCTGCTTGCTAAATTTTGACCTAACTCCCTTAGTTTTGATTGCAGGGCCACATCCCCCTTCCTACCTCAGTTATTGTTATCAACATGGAACACAACTTCTAGGTGAACCCCCAGCCCCAGAAGAATGTTCTGCAACCAATCTGTGAAATCCTTGATTCTGGCACCAGGAAGGCAATATCCAACCTGGAGCCACAATGACTTCTCAATTTCATAGAATCATAGATCCCTACAGTATGGAAGCAGGCCATTTGGCCCATTGAGTCTATACTGAACCTTTGAAGAGCATTCTACCCAGATCCACCTCCCTACCCTGTCCTAGTAACTCTGCATTTTCCATGGCTAATCCACCTAGCCTGTACATCCCTGGACACCATGGCAATTTCAATGGCTAATCTACCTAACTTGCAGATCTTTGGACTGTGGGAGGAAACCACAGCACCCTGAGGAAACCCATGGAGATACAGGTAGGATGTGCAAACTTCACACAGACAGTTACCTGGGGCTGGCATTGAACCCGGGTCCCTAGCGCTGTGAGGCAACAGTGCTAATTTGAGGAGCAAGGTTTTCAATATTGCAAAGCACACTTTCTAATGTTTCTCCATTTCAGTGATAAATACAACCTTAAAAAAAAATCTTCTGTTTAGGCTTTTTGCTGATTTAGGAAGGTCCATATATTTTGTCACATTTAGCCACAAGAAAAATACACTGCACTGCACTCTGTTTAATAGTAACCCAGCAGTTATGGTGGGCTTTTAGTCCTCTAACTTTTCTCTCAGTTTAAGAGATTCACAACCCTCCCAATTGTCCAATTTTAATAGATATTGTCAGATGGTCAGACAGAAGGGAATTTTCCATGAGAAAACTCAATTTCCTTGGCAATTCTCACAGAGTCAGCTGTGTCAGGAATTCTGCACAATTCTCATATGCAACTCCTGTCTACACTACTCCAGTAACGAATTTTGGAAAATTATAACCAGTACATTCATTATACCTGCAGCTATCTCTTTTAGAAATCTAGGTATAGGCTATTAGGTTCTGCGGACTTTTCAGATTTTAGTACCTTAAGTTTCTTCAATACATTTCCTTTGCTGATATTAATTATCTTAATTTTCTTACTCCTTTTTTTAACAGGATTTGAGTGTTACTGGAAAGATCAGCATTTATTTACCAATTCTAGTGCTCTTGGGTCAGTGCTGAGTGAGTGGCATTAACAAACTAATGTTGTCCTCATACTGAAGATACTCTTGCAGTGTTGTTCGTTAAGGTGGTACAAGGTTCTAACATAGATATGATGACGGAACTCCAAAATCCTTCTAGGTCAAGTTGGTCTGTTGTGACTTCAAGGGGAACTTGTGGGCAGAGGTGTTCTCATGCTGGTCTTGACCTTCTGGAGATAGAGGTTGAGTTTTGAAGTGTTTTAAAGAATCCTTACTGAGTTATTATGAGTTTTGCAAAGAGTGGAAAGCTTCAAGTGGAGGATCAAAACACAGAGATCATTGTTTAAGGAAACTGGGAAAAGAATCAATGGAGAAACAAGAGAAATGTTTTTCTGCAGCAAGTTCCTTGGCATCTTTTCATTCAAGTGCATCACATGCCATACTTACCCTCTCAACTCCTTGTTTTCCACTGCCCAGATTCCTAAACATGCCCCCCAGGGGTTTATCGTTGCACTTCCTCTGTTTCCATTTTTTGATACTTCAATGTATTTTCATTTAGCAACTGTATACCACTTTGCCTTCCACCATATCACAGATCTTTGCTTTTGTTCTGTAATCCACAGCACCCACCCACTTATGAATTATTCTACTGCCATATATTTTCCATGGCACTGCATTTGGTTACAAAGTATCTAACTTTAACTTATTCCAGTTCTCAAGATGATTGACATGAAATATTAATTTTATAGCTCTGTCTACAGATGCTGTTTGACATGCCAAATGTTTCCAGCACTTATATTTCTAATTCTACCAGTCTCTTCTGAATAATACTCAGCTACCAGTAGTGGAAAGTCATACAGCACAAAGCAGACCCTTCGGTCCAACTCATCCATGCCAACCAAGTTTCCTAAACTTTGCCGCAAAACAACAAGAAAGCAAGGTTAAAATTTTTAAATCAAAATCAATTTCCTGAAATGCTCCAATCATATTTGATTTGGAAAATTCCTGACCTGCACTTTGCAGTGTTAACAACAGCAAAAGACTGTCAGTACATGCTGCCATTGCTCCAGTGAAATTTAGATCAACCTCTGGAGTCCTGACACAGGCAAAATATTGTGTTGTTATCTTTTCCACAAGTTGACCTGTTGAAGTAACTTTAAATCAATGTGACACACTTAAATCAATGTGAAATGAACTGTATTTTGGAGATTTTCAACTCTCATCCTATTGGTTGCATTGTATAAGCCCTCAAAGACATTACACTGGTTGACTGAGGTGTTGCTAGATTTTTAATGGTGTTGTAACTTAATAATTACTGCCAAATACCTCACTGACCCTTGGAAGCTAATTTTACATTTGTGTACTTTTACATTTATCCATTTAAGCAGAAAATGTCCATATAGTTTTAACAATAATATATTTTTTAAAAATTGTTAATTTGATTTTAACTTCCATCCTAATCCAGTCACAATAATTTATTTCACTATTCAAAAATGTAAACTCAAATTGAAGAATATTAAGTGCCTAAACTTCTTGTTTGCTGAATCAGAATATGATCACCTACTTATCTACTTGCTGCTGTCACTGCTGTGAAGTCCAGTAAATCCCCTGAATTTAACATCAGAGTTTAAATGCCATCAGGAAAGAGTAGAACCTCGCCACAGAGATTGTTACATCTTTATGCAAAACATTTATTGACATCAGCAGTGAGCACAATGGTTTCACCGCTGGTGGCAAACTCTAGACCACATTTTCCACAATCAATTATTGTTGCAAAAATATCGCCAGAAGTGGATAAGCTCAAATGGTCGCCTTTGCTAGCTACTGTATTTGCGTAAATATTACATTGATAGGCCACACATTGAGTAACTTCAATGACTTATGCAAAGGAACAAAAAGATGGTGACTTGCACTGTTGTGCAGACAATATAACTTTAGTGTTTCTACATGTAGAATACTGTTCAGACATCAATGTTGCTGGGGCAACAAATTGATAAGTAGTACTCTTCTTGTTTTGCTAGACCACTCTCAACCATTTCTATATTTCACAATATAATTACAACATTTAAATGTTGCAGTCTGTCTATAGGCAAAGATACATTTCCCAGTGCTGCAAGACTTTAAACACAACAATTAGTGGAGTAAAGTTGCATTTCAATTAATTGAAACTCCATTTACATTTCTATAAGATTGGTGATTAACACATTGGAATTACCAAGAATTATACAATTGAGACAAATTGTATCAATAGCCATTGACTCCAATTTAATTGCAATTGACTTTCAATCTTAAACCTGCGCTTATTGCTTGACATTACCTTTCCATCCCTTTTCCAATGGATTCATCTTGTCTTTTTTTAAAATGAATAGTAATGAGAACATAAGTAGGGAAAAATCAAGAAACAATTAGGAACACAATTAGTAGAAAACTTGCCTTCAAACTAGATGCCATGAATTAAAATCCAGAAGTCGCCCATCACTTCAGTTTGCCTACCTTAATTGAGTTGAATTTGTTCTCAGTCAGACTGCTATATGGAGAAATGTGGGGGAAAATTTATATTATTCAAGTCAACGTATTTGAAATATGCTCCTTATCAGTGATGACGTTTCAGAATCTCAAGTATTCCATGGCTTTTCTTTCCCCTATCTCTCCCTCTCAACTGGAGGAGGATACGCACTGATGACCAACCCATGGGTGGGGGGAGAATACAAACCTTTTAAAACAATGCTTAAAGGTATATTTCTCCCGCACCTACATTATGCCATTCAAAAATGAACCTACCTCCTTTAGGCAACCCATAAAATTATTGCTGACTGGTGAACCTGGAAGATCAGCAGTGCTAGGACTGCCCCCGACATAGAAAAAGTCATCAGAGCCTAGCATGGTGTAATCCTCCTGTGTGTAGCCCGTTGTTGTCAGTATTCCATCTACTGAGATTGTTACCTATATAACAAAACACAAGGAAAATATGCAATATTCGTATGATGATAACGGTCTCTCTTTCAGGTTCTTGTGTAAGACCTGCAGACAGCAACCCATTTTCATGTCTGTTTAGTCTCAGTGCTCTCAGCTGTTGGTCCAATAAAACCACCCCCAAAAAAATCTAGACTACTTTGGAAAAATGTTAGCCAAATAGAAAATTGATGCTAATATTTCCCTAATGCAACAAAATTTTTTTAGCAGACACAAAAACGGTGTTAGTAGCATGTTTTGTATGTTAGTTGAGTTAAAGTAAATATTAGTAAGATTATCCAATATATGCATTTAAAGATTAAAACGTGCAACTGATTGAAATATAAATCCCATCAGACAAAGCACAAGCTAATAGGAATAACTAATGTATTACCATCACTGTAAGCACTAGCTTTATTTGATCGTGCAACTGCTTTTTTAAAAAAGAATTTCCTCTTTGTTTTGTTTAGAACAGAAGCGTGCATAAAACAAAAACTGCTGGAAAATAATTGAAGTAAGAAGCACACTCAGGTCTTACAAATTGATGTGCGCATGCAAGAGCAAACTGAAAAAGAAAGACACCAAAATTGCTTGCAACGAAGAACAGATGTATGGATGTAGCATTTCAGACATTCCCAATCCACGTCTTCATGCCATGCATTGTGTATGGTCAGGAACTGGCTGAGCCAGTGAACCCAGGGCCAGCCACCATTTAGCTTGATCCCCCGAAAACCACAGCTTGATGCAACCGCTTGTAACTTTTATGATGCCCCTGAAGTAGTTTAAATAGAATTTGATAGAAACAGATAAAGAAGGTGAACAACAGATGAAAGAAGGATTTCAAAGTAAGCAGAAGAGTACCAACCCCAGTTCCTCTTTTGTTAATGATGTCTACAGTAAAGAAAGAAAACACACGGCAAACCCAAACTAAGAAACAATTAGAATGATATCTACCGAACAATGTAGTTTGTTTACCATAGCGTGTCCGATGCCTGAGTGCTTTGCGGAGAAGGGGGGGAGAAAGGAAATTAAAACTGTGAACAGAATAACGATTGTTACTCAAAAATATGATGGTCACTACCATGTTAGTACATTATTTGATTAAGGTAACGGTTAGTAGAATGACACATTCCATGAATGACATGTTAGTTATTAAGCATGTTAGTAACATATAAGAAAGGCAAAATAATTTTACAAGAAAAAAGCAGACTAACAAGTATGCCATCAATAATATTAATAGCAGTATTAAAATGTTAATATTGCTAAACCTTAGTCATGAACAGGGACTCTATACTTACTTTGAACCCATGACAGTTAGTTTAAATATCACCTTCATCGTTGTTTTTTTTAAAAGAAAAATTTAAGTGGCAATTGACAGATTTTTAAAGCAATTTTTGCTTTTTATAATCAACCCATTTCAGAAGAAATTTAAGTAATCTTGTTGACAATTGCACACAGAACCCTTCAATATTTCTTTCCAATTCCCCAACTTGCTTTGAACATACCAATAAGGTTAAAGGTCATTTTAGTGCAACAAAGTCAGTCCTGCCTCAGCAATGAACAGAATTACTTTGTTTCAATCTGTGATATTATGCATATTACTAGGTTTTCTACAAAATTAAGAAATTTGAATGGTAATTTCAATTTGTATTACCTAAGAAAAGGCAGATCCAGAGTGTGTGTAATTATAACATTCATTGAATTAATAAATTAAGAATATATTATCAGGCATGCATTTAAGGAATGGATTTTAAACTTCCATGCAGCTATGATTTATTTACCTAATCCCTGGCAACTGATAATACATTCTGTTTAGAGTCTTCAAGACTTACTCTGATAAGGATGAAAATGTTATCAATTATAAACATCTTCAAGAAAAACTGTTAAAATACTGATGCAGATGCTAAAAACACTTGAGAGTTGAAGCCATTGTGTCCCAGGTTTTGGACATGGATGTCATTATTCACAATCTGCCTGTGTGACTTTCAGATAAGGTGAGCAACATGTAAAATCTGTGCACCTATTTCATTTGCATGCTTAGAGCATAGTCCCATCAGATTCCATGCTGCACTCCTCTCTGTTATGCTGTTGATCATCTCTGCACATTGCAGGGGGCGGTGGAGGGTAAGCTGCAATGTTCTAGACAGGCTTCCCTTTTTATAAGCACAATCCTATAAATGAAAACAGCACACATGCACTGCATGGTGCAGGATCAACTATTTGGAGCAGTCAGGGTCAATGAAGATGTCACAGTAAAACAGCAAAAGGACTTCCACTTTACCAATACTGCCCAAACGCACTATGTACAGCACAGCAGATATGACACCTGTCCACTCGAGGGGGTGAGCAGAACGCCTTTAAGGCACACTCTTAGAAGCATATAGCTACACATGGTAAGGGTGGTTAATACCCAACATGCTCCCCAGACGACAAGCCGCAGGGCAGAAAAGTGACTTCACTTGGGTAGTCAAGGCTATCCACACGTCACATTTCAGACCAATCACACCCAACAAAATGCTCAGCATGCCAGCATCCTCGTCACTTACTCAACAGCACACCTTGATACTCGGGAGTTACTCGTAATATCTGTACATGACACCAACTTAGATACATCTTCTATTCTTGGTCATCACATGCATACATCTCTCCGTAAATCTGCAGACATTCAGTGACAGTTGGCATATTGATCAAATAGAGTAACACACTTTACTGACATTCTACTTTCATTTTTGCAGGATAAGAGATCCACAGCAGAGAACTGGTAGAGGACTAGGATGCCTGAATTCCATCAGTGTTCCCAAGAACCTATCCAAGGAGTCATCAAAACCACTGAGATAGTGCCAGCAGCACCTTGTACTGCCAAAGCCAGGGAGAAAGATGGAAAAGTGCAGCTTTATAGAGCTACTTTTTCACTCTTTACCTTCATCTTAAAAGTTGCTACAAAAATGACAGTGACAATGGTTTAATTGTAGAAATGCTGTGTTTCCTCTTCAGCCCCCTTTCCCTCACCCTGCACCTCCCTAATACATTTGAGTTTCCACAAATGGACTGCACTTAGGAGAGGAGGAGAGGTCAGCTCATGCACGATTTCCATTCACAGGAAGGTTTCAGGCGAATTCTGCCTCAAGTGATTCAAATAAGGTTTTCATTGGAGTGGATATACAAAATGCTGATTTGAATTTACTCTGAGTTGCTTGGTGCTTTGATAGGTCTGCCAAACAATCTCTAGCACTGACTAGGAGCAAGGTGGAATCCAACTGCATTGTCGGATCTGTACAATTAAATGCAGAAATTCCTAAGTTATTTTTAAGCAGTCTTTATGTCTATTTTGATAACCATCATGAATAAGTTGCTGACCAAGAATAAATTTTCTCCATTACAACAATAGCAATAATTCAGCAATGCTCCGACCATGGCAAAGAGCTTTTGAATACCCTGAAGGTTGTGAAAGGCAGGATGTAATTGCAAAACCTTTATTTTTTTCTAAGAGAGTTTCTTCAGAGCATATTCTTCAGTTACATCATGACCTGACCTTTATTTTCACAGTGTCAATGCTTCATGTGCTTGTATTTCTTTAGGAACTTCACTTCAGGAGACCTGTCCTCCCATTTGCTGGTTGCCTGAGGCAGATTAGATGAAAGTGATTTTGTATATGCGATGTGCAGAAGTACAGATTCCTGTGGTCATACTTGAGTCATTGAAGGGTCAAATACTTTTTCCCAAAATATTTGCCTTTCTTGTCTTAGTTACATCTCGAATAGATTTTATTCATATAAAAACATTCTTTTTTTTTCCCAGTATGATAACAGCTGTCAATACAGGCAACAAAATCTTCCTGGACCTATAATCAATATTGCTCTCAACAGACTCTCAAAAACTATATAATGGAGACCAGATCACAAGTTCAATGGACTGAGAGATTGAACCAAACCAAATATACGATATCTTGAAAATTTGCATATTTTGTCAGGGCCTACATAACATACCAAGTTGAAAGGCAGGAAGAGGCCAGCTCATTTGTCATGGCAATGGTATAAAGCATATCAGCACACAGCAATTAATTTGTACAGTTTTGGTGAAAAAGATTTCACTGTCAGTGGAGTTCAAAATACGTGAGTATGGACATGTGCAGGGCAGGAAGGCTAAACCTCCTTTATTGAGAAGTGAAGAGGACTACGGCCTCTACTAGTCCCCCAGGCACAGATCAAAGCTTACTTATTTGAATCTCTTTAGGCTCTGGGGCCTCTTAAAATTGTCTTCATCTGGTTTTTCACAAAAGCCATTTAGTGAAGCTAGCAGTTGTGTCTCGATTATGTCATTAGTACCCAGCTTACATAACTTGTCGAAGAACCTTGTCAACCTACAGTTCATGTCCTTGAAACCTACTCAATTGAGCACCTTAAAATTTAGAATGGTGAACATTGAATGGTTCCAGAACTGCTAAGTAAATTAGGCAATGTTCTGCTTAGTCTCTTGGGTTCCGCTGAGGAAAATCAATCCTCGGTATTTGCTACAACATAATGACTGTTAATTTACTCAAATTTCACAACATGTTCACTGAGATCTGCCACAGGATAATTTCCAATGTTCATAAGCTAGGTAATAAAGCCTCACTCTATTAGTTGAATATCATTGATTGAAAAACGTGCATTTGGTAATATTGGTAAATGGAAGAGATTTTATGTATTTTCCTCTGCATTACATGTAGACATCCAAAAACTTTAATCATTGATATTTGCAAATTTAACAGATTCTATTATGGGTCACCTTGCTATTATGCAAATTCTTTTGACAAAATGCAATGATGTTCTAACCTTTAAGCATTTCTCTAGATCTGCATTTGCTCAGGTATTATGAAGTAAAATAGTTAACTGGAAATTTGAGTCAAATTTAATAAATAATTTGCTATAGTCAATTTATTTTCAATTCAAAAGGAAAACTGTTATATTTAGTTTGGAATTTGTAAATGTGTGCAGTAAAATTAATTTCTTTTTCCATACACGATTAAGAATAGGTCCCACATTTTCTACATCATCCTTTGTACTGTTACCTGACGGAGGTTCCGGGTTACTTTCACATCATGCCAGGCATTGTCATTAAATTTTCCATTCACAGGTTCCACCAAAGCTTCAAAGGCTCCTGACCCCAAATTAATGACCAGTGAGACAGCACCATCTTTCAAAGCCAGATTTACATAATCTGCAGATTTCCCTGTATGAAGCATTAGACCATTCCTTTGAAGGGTTCTGAATGATAATGTTATTTCATCACTGCTACTCTGGATTGGGTTCTGTGACAAGTCATAGCAGAAGTATTCTGATCCTTTAAATGTTGCAACATATTCTTCTCTTCCTGAAAGACATGAAAAATGGAACAAAATGGTTAGAACAATATCACACCTTTTTTAAGAAAAAAGTAATTATACATAAATTTTTTCAGACGTAGTCTTACTGCATAAAAAACTATGCATATGATTAAAAGTAATGCAGTCAATTAAAAGTGATCAATGGCCATCCACCAACTTATGAAGAATGTACTTAGATCTTTCACATCAACTAGTGTTAATGTTCCAATTCACAGACTTCTTTTTTTGCAATCCTGCCATAGGACTTTGAATATTGCACGGAAGAATAATTGGCTTGCATTGTAGACAACATCTAAATTGTACAAACTGTTGCATTCCAAAAGAGTGGAAAGCTGATTTCTCTCTCTAATTTGGTTATAAACCAATGGTATCTTGACCTGCTTCTGAGAAGGTTAAGTTCTCAGAACTGGCTTTCTTGTCAAACCCAGGTGGAAATCCCAGGTCACAGTTGTGCATTTCTATTTGAGAGTAAACTAAAGAGTGGTGTTTAGCCCATTTTTTTGGTGTGGCATTAAGGTTAAAATAGTAGCCATCCATTTTCCTTCATCTTATGACTTCCAAGTAAGAAGCCCGAAATCAGCAAATAGTACGATTTTTTACCATGCATTTCTGATTTTGTTACACATGTCCTGGATACAATTCTGTCCTATTGCATATCTGCACTTTATGTATAACAGTTTCATACAGAAACAACATGCTAAAAATATTTGTACAAGTTACTTTATGAGCATTGCCCCAATGTTCACCATAATCCTCTTTCCCATTGTAGCAAAAGAAACAACTATTGTTATTCCCTTCCCTCACAGGCTATTGGGCTCACATCCCCAATGTTGGGATGAAATAAGGGCCCCAAAGCCTGCAGTTGCTAATGGTGGGGCTGACTCAGCAGTTATACCAGAGGCAGTCTCCTAATTAGCTACTTCTTGCTCACCATCAAAAGAAGGGAAGCAGGAGGGCTCCTGAGATTGGCAGCCCAATCAGAGCAGCTTTGGAGCCTGAGTAACTATGCCAGGAGAGATGGGTGCTGCTGAGGCAGTTTGGAGATCACAATGACACCTCAACATGGAGACATGTTCAGAGTTTGCAAACAAAAAAAGTCATGAAATTATGTAGACTTTTTTTTAAAATTGAAGTGGCTCAGTTAGCACACAGCATCTCCTGGACCATTGAGCAACAGTGATTGCCCACCCTGCCCAAGCCTCCTTTTTATGCGCTTGAAGAGGAGGTTAGAGAGAGAGAGAGGAGAATGAAAAAAAATTTTAAAATACAGAATAAGAGTTCTTGGTACTTTCCAAAGCATGTCAAATTGCTTATGCATACGCCTGGCATTCAATTTGTGTTCCTGACAAACTCAAAACATTTGAACATGACTTACTTCCAAAGTCAAAACCATGTGCTAGGACTGAGATAACAAGGTGTAGAGCTGGATGAACACAGCAGGCCAAGCAGCATCAGAGGAGCAGGAAGGCTGACGTTTCGGGCCCAGACCCTTCTGCAGAAATCAGGACTGAGAGGTGGGTACTTAGACTTCAGTGATACACATTGGGTTGTTCACATTGGTAGGAAGACAAACATGAATTCATTATGAAGTCTGCGGAGGTTGGACAAGATGAGAGGGTGATACAAGAGAAGTAAGCTAACCAATATATGCAATGCCCAGTGGTACATTTGCTGCTGAGCTTCTCCAGCAGCTTCTCTTTGCATTTCAGATTTCCAACATCCACTGTACGTTGTCTTTATTCTGTTTGAAAATTGACACATTTGAGAAATGTTCCTCCTATCAAAGCAGGTAATTTCACAATTGTCTGCATTGTATTCCATCTGCCATGCTCTTGCCCATGCACTCAATTGGCCTTAATCTCCCTGAAGTCTCTTTGCATCTTCCTCATGGCTCACATTTTCCACCAAGTTTCACATCATCTGCAAATCTGAAACTATTGCAATTGGTCCTACATCTAAATCATTGATGCATATATTGTGAAAAGCCAGGTCCCTTGTGGTACCCCAATGGTTACAGCCTGCCAGCCTGAGAATGACCCATTCATTCCTTTTTGTCCTTTTTGCTGGTGAATCCTCAGTCAATGTTCAAACATTACCCTCAATTTCATCCACTTTAATATTTTTCCAACCTCCTGCATGGTACTTCATCAAAGGCCTTCGAAAATCCAATACACCAAAGCCATTGGCTCTCCCTATTGACTCTGTCCGTGGAATCCTCATAAAGCTCTGCTAGGTTTATCCAGCATGGTTTCCCCTTCATAACTCCATATTTAGTCTGCCTAATCTGACAATCATTTGCTTCTGAATAGCCTGTAATCACATCCTCTTTAATCGATTTGAGTATTTTCCCTACTTTTGATGTCAGGCTGACAGGTCTTTAGTTTCCCCTTTTTCTGTGTTCTTTATTGCTACGAGGTAGGCCATGAGAAGATATAACCAAAGATATTCTACGTCCATTTCTGTCAGAAGAGACAATTCTGATTGAGGTTGCAACAATGACTGTGTTGTCGCCAGAATTAGAATTAGAATTAGCTTAATTGTCATATGTAATCAAATGAGTACTGTAAAAAGTGTATAAGTCGCCGCTTACGATACCATTTTAGGTACAAAGTCCCTAGGTACCACTTCTTCAGTTACAGTTCTGAGAAAAAATAGAGAAGTTAAAAGTCCAGTATTGCAGATTTCAGGAATAAATGATAAAATTGAGAAAAAAATGGTCAGTACAACAGTTTTCCAACCCAGTCCATGCTGGCACCTAACCTCCCGTCCGCACCAGACGTTGACTCTAGACTGTATTGGACTTCACCTCAGGGTTTATGAGGCCCTGGAATCACCTTGAGACCAGAGGTCCACACGGAGGCCACACCGGGCCAAGAGACTACCAAGATGCTTTAGAAACAATATGAAGCTCATTAAATAGGATGCAGAGATATGCAAAAACAATGCTAGGAATAAGGAAATTCATTTGCAAGTTCAAGTTGTAGAAACTGGGAATATTCTCCTTGGAGCAAAGGAGATTGTGAGGAAGAATCTAAGGAAGGACTGGACCCGAAACGTTAACTCTGATTTCTCTCCACAGATGCTGCCAGACATGCTGAGCTTTTCCATCATTTTCTGTTTTTGTTTGAGATTGACAGGAGATTTAGTTGATGGGTACAAGATTATGACAAATTTAGAGAAGCTAAAGTAAAGCTGCTCGCAATTAACTGAGGGTGAGGGCTCTTGTGGCCTAATGGTAGTATTCTTACCTCTGAGCTAGAGAAGCCCAGTTCAAGTTCCACCTGCTCCAGAGATATGCAACAATCTCTCTGAATGGGTTAATAACAAAATAACTACAATGACTAGGGGACACAGCTTCAAGGTGGCAGGCAAGATTTGCAGTGAGATATAAGAAGGGAGTGGTAATTATTTGGGTGGTGAAAATGAGCATGATCAAGTATTTCAAAACTAAATTCATGGGCATTTGATGGAAATAAACTCACAGGGTTATGGAAATATGAGAATGACTGAATCATTGTAAAGTAAGCTGGCATGACTTGATGGGTCTAATGTTCTCCTGTGCCATAATGGCTCTTTGACGCTGTAGTAAATAGAATGATCCATTCCAATTTATATGATTCATTTATTTTATGCATCTCAAGTTTAAAAAAAAGCCAAAACAACCCTGCTTTTTGTATACATAGATATCTGTTATGTGCACATACTGACACCATCACACAACTTTTGAGAGTACAACAGATGATCAGCTAGGCAGTGCTGATAGTGTTGATTTCTATCAGCAACCAGAAAAATGGAGATGCTTTTTGTGAAGTAACATACAAACAGTATTATTTCACCTTCAAGATCACAAATGTAATAAGAAACTACAGAATGATAAAACAACTTGCATTTATATCAGCTTCAATATACCAAAACACTTCAGAATGCTTGAATAATATGTTATTCCAGTAAAAGTGAATCATATCTATTGAATATCATCCTATGCTGCCAAATATCACTAAATATCATGATAACTTCCTCTTGCCACTATATTGGGAATCAGATTTGTTCCAAAGGGCACCAGGCCAAAGAATACATTTAAAAAGGGGAGGAGGCCTATAATGACTGGCTTGCATCCTATTTGCATAATGTCCACATTTGCTTTGTCTAGGGCCAGAACAGCAAACACCCACATTAAACAGATGAGTGCTTTGTAATATTACTTAAATGACATACTGGTGACATACAGCGCCACTTTCACATCACACCAGGGTTGCTAATGGATTCAGCTGTAGATGACAGTTAATTTTAGTGCAAAATTCTTACATTCACAAATGGCTTTAAAACCTCTAGTGCACTTCACCATTTTTCCCCACGTTGCTACCAAGAGACTGATAGGCTTTTGTGACTATCATTCAACTGCAAATTATCTCTTCTATCAGTTTAATTTATGCAGCTATCAGAATGTTCTATGGGAAGAAAAGGAAAAACTCCAGTGGAATGTTTTACCTTTTACAGCAAATACTGGCACCATTGCAGCCCATATCATTCAACACTAATGCATATATCTTGCTTTGGTAGGGACTTTATGTATTGATTTGATGGTGTAGAAACATGAGAAGGCCCAATAGGGACAGTTACTCAAAAGCACCCAATCACAGTTGCATCAGTGATACTTGATTTTGTAATCACTTGCATAAATGTGGCAAAATTAAACCTGCTAAGTTATTGAAAAACATATAAATTTTGTCACATTTATCAATGTGGATGCTCGATGTAGGTACCTTAGTGTTGCATAGCATCGACTGAATGCAAAACACAAAAAAGGATAGTTGGCTCAGCTTGTCCATTCTGGCACATATGCTCCATGCCAGTTTTCTCCTGTGCCTCTACCTCTAACCCAATTAACATATTATATTTATAACTCCCTTGTGTGTTTCTTGAGCTTCTCATTAAATGTATGCATGTTATCTGACTTGAAGATCCCTGTAAGGATGGCTATCTCAGT